AGAAGAGGGGACACATGTTGATGTAGAAGAGACATGAAGAAGAGGGGACACATGTTGATGTAGAAGAGACATGAAGAAGAGGGGACACATGTTGATGTAGAAGAGACATGAAGAAGAGGGGACACATGTTGATGTAGAAGAGACATGAAGAAGAGGGGACACATGTTGATGTAGAAGAGACATGAAGAAGAGGGGGACACATGTTGATGTAGAAGAGACATGAAGAAGAGGGGACACATGTTGATGAAGAAGAGACATGAAGAAGGACACAGAAGGGGGAACACACTGTTGATGTAGAAGAGACATGAAGAAGAGGGGACACATGTTGATGTAGAAGAGACATGAAGAAGAGGGGACACATGTTGATGAAGAAGAGACATGAAGAAGAGGGGACACATGTTGATGAAGAAGAGACATGAAGAAGAGGGGACACATGTTGATGAAGAAGAGACATGAAGAAGAGGGGACACATGTTGATGAAGAAGAGACATGAAGAAGAGGGGACACATGTTGATGAAGAAGAGACATGAAGAAGAGGGGACACATGTTGATGTAGAAGAGACATGAAGAAGAGGGGACACATGTTGATGTAGAAGAGACATGAAGAAGAGGGGACAACATGTTGATGTAGAAGAGACATGAAGAAGAGGGGACACATGTTGATGTAGAAGAGACATGAAGAAGAGGGGACACATGTTGATGTAGAAGAGACATGAAGAAGAGGGGACACATGTTGATGAAGAAGAGACATGAAGAAGAGGGGACACATGTTGATGAAGAAGAGACATGAAGAAGAGGGGACACATGTTGATGTAGAAGAGACATGAAGAAGAGGGGACACATGTTGATGTAGAAGAGACATGAAGAAGAGGGGACACATGTTGATGAAGAAGAGACATGAAGAAGAGGGGACACATGTTGATGAAGAAGAGACATGAAGAAGAGGGGACACATGTTGATGAAGAAGAGACATGAAGAAGAGGGGACACATGTTGATGTAGAAGAGACATGAAGAAGAGGGGACACGTGTTGATGAAGAAGAGACATGAAGAAGAGGGGACACATGTTGATGTAGAAGAGACATGAAGAAGAGGGGACACATGTTGATGAAGAAGAGACATGAAGAAGAGGGGGACACATGTTGATGTAGAAGAGACATGAGGAAGAGGGGACACATGTTGATGTAGAAGAGACATGAAGAAGAGGGGACACATGTTGATGTAGAAGAGACATGAAGAAGAGGGGACACATGTTGATGTAGAAGAGACATGAAGAAGAGGGGACACATGTTGATGTAGAAGAGACATGAAGAAGAGGGGACACATGTTGATGAAGAAGAGACATGAAGAAGAGGGGACACATGTTGATGTAGAAGAGACATGAAGAAGAGGGGACACATGTTGATGTAGAAGAGACATGAAGAAGAGGGGACACATGTTGATGAAGAAGAGACATGAAGAAGAGGGGACACATGTTGATGTAGAAGAGACATGAAGAAGAGGGGACACATGTTGATGTAGAAGAGACATGTGTCCCCTCTGTGTGAAGAGAGAGTCTCTTTACACAGAGGGGACACATGTTGATGAAGAAGAGACATGAAGAAGAGGCGACACATGTTGATGAAGAAGAGACATGAAGAAGAGGATTTTAAATAATAGGTGACCTTTAATCAGAAATGTACTACAACACTGACTGCAGGTGTTTGTCTGTCAGGAGGAAGAGGACGGTTCTGATGAAGACTCAGTGATGGTCTCCATGACACTTGACCCCCCCGCAGAGGAGGACGTGGACCCGACCTTCGTGTCTCCGATCGTTGAAGTGAAACCCGTCCAGCAGCAGGCGGACCTGGCTGTCAGCAGCCTGCACGAGGCCAGCAGGTCCCTCTACATACTCTCATTATTCATGTCATTAGTGGTATTATTATATTATCATTTATTATGTTAAGTATTTCTCCAATACTAAAATCGCCGTTTTTCTTTCTCTTTAAACTATTCATTGATAACACTTGACATTAAGGTGCACTTATTCACCATCAACTAGTTGTTCATTCACATATTAGAGTCAAACTACTAGCTTATTGGTTATGAACGAGACTTCACTTTAGAATAAGGAATATATTCTGAGTTAGAAAAACCACATTTTTAGTTATTTCGACACAATTAACACTTTAGTTTCATGTCTGTTCACATAAAAATAGACCATATTTGTTAAGTGTTATTATGGGAGAATTATATATATATATATTATAATGTATTATCAAAATTATTCCTCTAATACCAAATGGCTATTTGTCTTTCTCTTAAAACTATGAATGGTAACACTTTATATTAAGGTACACATATTCACCATCAACTAGTTGCATAATAGCAGCCCTTTATTAGTCATTATTAAACACGTATTAATGCCTTATTCTACATGACCATATTCTACAAGTAATAAGCCATTAGTTGAGAGTTTTTCCTCAATAACCCTCTAAGTAGTGCTGATTTGTTGCAAGTGAGGAAGTTGTTGAACATGAGTTTGGGTCTTAATATGCTCTGATCAATATGGGCCTAATGAGGCAGCAGTACCACAAGAATAGTAATTCTCCCATAATAACACTTAACATATATGATCTATTCTTATGTAACAAGACATGAAACAAGTGTTAATTGTGTCAAAATAACAAAGAAATTGGTGTTTCTAACTCAGAATATGTTCCTTATTCTAAAGTGAAGTCTCGTTCATAACCAATGAGCTAGTAGTTTGACTCTAATATGCATTTTAATGAACAACTAGTTGATGGTGAATATGTGTACCTTAATGTAAAGTGTTACTAAAATAAGGAACATATGAGTTATATTTGTTAAGTGTTATTATGGGAGAATTACTATTCTTGTGGTACTGCTGCCTCATTAGGCCCATATTGAGCATATTAAGACCAAGACTCATGTTCAACAACTTCCTTACTTGCAATCAATCAGCACTAATTAGAGGGTTATTGAGGAAAAACTCTCAACTAATGGCTTATTACTTATAGAATACGGTCATGTAGAATAAGGCATTAATAAGTGTTTTATAATGACTAATAAAGAGCCAATATACTGCTAACATGAATGTTAATCAACAACTAGTTGATGGTGAATATGTGTACCTTAATATAAAGTGTTAGCCTATTATTTAAAGTCCTTATCATCGTCTCTCCTCACCGTCCTGGTTCAGGTCTCAGCTGCTTCAGAGTCTCCGTGAGACGAGAGGCGAGAAGAAGACCAGACGGAAAGTTCTGAGGCAGTTCGAGGACGAGTTTTACCGTCAGACCGGGAGGTGAGACTCCAAAACTCTTTCTACAGTTTCTGTTTAACTTCCTGTTTCTGTTTAACTTCCTGTTTCTGTTTTACTTCCTGTTTCTGTTTTACTTCCTGTTTTACAGCTGGTCTGGAACAGCCTCCCAGTACAAATCCGGACGGCTCAGTCTATTGAACTTTTTAAAAAGTTCAATAGAAACTAAAAACTCACCTCTTTGGCTTTTAATATTAGGCAAGTTTATTTATAGCACCTTTCAACACAAGGCAATTCAAAGTGCTTTGCAAAAATGAAAGACATTCAGAGCATTAACCTGTTAAGCTTTTTTTTTTCACAAAACTGTGTCTTCGGTCTTCTTAACATTTAACAAACTATTAATGTGTCATACACACTTAACGGGAAGAAACTCAGCTGACTGACGATATGAACCATTGTTATCGAAACAAAACACAAGTCTAACACCGAGCCTCTGAATTAGCTCTAAGCGTAAAACGCACTTAGCACATAACTCACGGTAGAAATATGTTATACTTCATCGGATCTGCACAAACTAGATATCATATGAAGTCTGAGATTCCACAGATTCCAATGGTATAAGTCTCATCACTGATCCACCAGAACTCAGGGCAGCGAAGGCGAAACCAGACAACACACGACTTAGCTTTACGGGGCCAAAACGGCAAATACGTCTTACCTTTGCTGTTTCTGATCAAAGTTATGTTCAATGGCATTAAAACAGATATAAACGCTGCTGAACGTTAATCCAATGGATAATCCAATGTGTCTGAGTCACTTTGAAATGATTTCTGATAATCCATCATCATATTTATGATCAATAAACCTAGTTTTCAGTTTTCAGAGCGTAACGTAGCTTTCGGTTTGGGCAAACTGCGTGCGCATCACTCTCACTCCTCAATGGTAACGTGAAGGAGGATTTAGGAACTTCCCCTTCGATTCTATTGGCTCTAACGGTCAGAAAGAGGTGTCAATCACCAAAATCGACCGATGGGTTCCAGAGATATGGAAAATGCACCCAAATGACCCCAGAAGTGTTTTCTTGTCTCTCTAAAAAGGTCAAATGTCACTTGTTTTGCATCAATCTTGATACTTATTATATGTTATAGTTTGGATTCCTAAAGCTTTTAGTCTCCGATCCCATCATCCAAGGGTAGTTTTCACTACCCGGAACGGAAACTATAATTTAAATTGTTTTACTATGTTCAATCTGAATTCTCTTTAAAATAAAAACATCTATATTGATTCTGACTGTTCTACATCCAGCTCACAGGTTTATCATTACTTTGAGAACAAAGATTATTAATTTAACCCTTTTAGAAGTGAAGATATGGTCATTTGTTCTGGGAATGGCATTTTGGAGCCTGAGACCTGAAAAACAGGCTCAGAGCTTAAGAGGTTAATAAGAGACATATTATAAAATGGCATAACAAAAATTATAATAACACAGGTACATGAATAAAAGTTACAGTGCAGTGTGGGATATGAATAGTTGAATTAAAAGCAGCGTTCAAAATAAAAGTCTTTAGCCTGGAGACTACTAGTTGAACATAACATTTTGACGTTTTTATATGTTTCTCTATGTTATTGTGCTTTTTATCATGTTTTTAATTATTGTTTTATTATTTTACTCCTATCGTGTTATATTGTATTTGTTCCCTGTACAGCACTTTGTTTTAAATGTGCAATATATATGTGTTTTTTGTAAATTGTGTAACTTTTTTTATTATAATTCTTTTTTTATCTGTAATATTTTATTGTATATATGCTGTAGGTAACACTAAGCTGTCTTTGGCTCTTTCCTGCTGTAACAAAGTACATTTCCTCTCTATGGGACTGATGAAGGTCTTCTGATTCTGATCTGATTCAGATTCTGATAAACATTGAGATTGTTCTCTGAGGTTTCTCTTGTTTCTCCCGTCAGGATCTGCCAGAAGGAGGACCGCAGTCCGATGAAGGAGGAGTACCAGGAGTACAAACAGCTGAAGGCCAAACTCCGCCTGCTGGAGGTGCTTCTCAGCAAACAGGAAGTCCAGCTCGGCAGACAGGAAGTCACTAAAAAACACATGTGAATCTCTCAGAAACTCTGCCAAACGAGACCAAAGCTCCCGAGAGGAGGAAAGGTCTTTTATTTTCCCGACCAGAGGACAGGAAGTGGTGCGACGACGCGCTGTTACTCTCCGACGTTTCTTCATATCGCAGCTACGTTAGCTGCAAAACGAGCGGAAAACGTCCATGGATTGCAATCTGATAATCTAGATTTTTGCTGATAAAAATAAACTCCCAAGGTTTGGAGAAAAAATCTCATGCATGGTAACATTCAAATGATTGATGCCTTTTCTTTAATAAAGGCCGCTCGAGTGTTGGTAGGAACATTTCAGTTTCAGTCGTTTACTCTGAGACTTCTTTACGGCGGCCCACAGCTGCCAGATATAAAAACACAAATGTGCCAAAACACATGCATGTCTCCTCAAGTTGCTGAATGTTCTCTAAACGCTGCATGTGTTGTCAAGTTGATGGAGATGTTTCTTCATGTGGAACATTTGGGGTTTTATATCTGCATCCTTTCTGAAGCTGCAGCCGATTCTCCGTACCTCTCACCACTTCCTCTCTGAACTGTAGAAACTGTAAATACTTCAGAAAAGTTTTATAATAATCTGTCAGTGGAAACCAGCAGTGTGTATTAATCTACCTGCAGCTTCCTCTCCATCCTGTTTGATTCATTGGACCAAATCTTTATTTTATACTTGATGTGTGTGCGTGAGCTGGAAGCACTTTAATGGAAAAAGAGACTTTATTTATGAACTGAAAAGCGTTTGGGACGAAGATGCAATGTAGAGATAACTGTTTGTGTCGCAGAGAGATGCATCTGTGTTTATATCATAGCACGCATTTATTTTTATCCAGATGTTTGGTATGCAACAAGGTGCTGGTGATCTATATTTAAAGAGAGAAGAGGGAACGAAAATAATTTTACAGCCGTCTAAAATGTGTCCGGTGGATCGTGAGAGCATGAAGACAGCGTTACAGAAAGTCTCTCTGAGTTTCCTCCGTATTTAAACACAGCAAACTTCAATCAGAGCGATCCTTCTGCACTTTCTGCCTTTTATCAAATCAACAACACAAGCATAATGTAAAGTTCGTCCTCCTGTAGGAGCGTTCCTCGGATCCCAACGGTTCCTAACGCTCATTTTTATCTGTATCCAACAACGGATAAACCCACGAAGCTTCGACCAAATATTACGTTAACTTCCAAAGTTATTTGCATAAATTAAACACATTTTGGAGATCTAAACTTTTCATTTTTTTAAGTTTACTATTCATTAAACAGATGTTTATTTGATAAGATATTCTCCAGAACTACATCGTTTCTGAAAAGAGACTAATTTATGGAATCTGACGCTCGATTTTAAATCTGAATCTGCAGCTTTGATCCAGATTAAATCCTGGCCTCTGGACGGAGAGATGTTTTCAGTTTCCTCTGAGGTTAAACCTCCGTGTTGGTGTCACTGTATTCATGCTGTGAATATTAAACTGCATCCTGTTGTTCCACACAGACCAGTTTCAAATAAATATTTTTGATATCAACACAGTCTGGTGAGTTTCATTGTCATGTTGGAATCAGCACGGTGTAACCTGAAGGTGATTTAAATGTTCTTGCAGAAATATGATATGCATATATGAATGCATGTAAATGCTAAATGTTCACTTTAGTGTTTCAGGTTTCTTCCAGAGCAGAGGACCCAATGAAATCCTTAAAGTTATTATTTTTTCTACCACCAGATGAATCGCATTTTTTGGGACTGAACGTTTATCAAAAGTTGTTTTTTTATAAATTTTATTTTTTCAGGTCTATTAAACAATGTTATATTTTTTGGGTCCTGATAGAAAGTCGGCCAATTTGGATTTAATGGCAAGTTTTTGCACTTTTTGAGTTTTCTGTTTGCAGTTATTTGCAAATCAACTTTTATTTGTCATTTCGTTTTAGTCAACATGTTTATTCAACATTACATTAATCAGTTTACAGTACATGATTCATATTTGATATCTTGATTCCAGTATTTATAGACATGTTTGAATCATCAGATATAATACTCTCCGTTGATAATGAATTTCACTACAGCTGTTCCTAAAGTCCCTTTAGGTGAACCTCGCTGCAGACGATGATGTCACTGGTAGTAAAAGCTGTCGGTGACGGTGAAGACGTCGGACGTCCCTTCGTACGGCTTGAAGACGTTCTTCTTCTCTTTGAAGTTTCCAAAGTGTTTGATCCTGTAGGAGCCGCTGGGCACCGCCACCGGGATGAACCAATCCACGGTGGCTTTACTGCGCTGGAACGAACCCTTCAGCCAATGAAACCTGCAGAGAGACGTCCAACTCAAACACTGCAGGGGTCTAAATATGAATGTATTTACTTTGGTTCCTTTATTACTTTTTGCTGGACTAAACATACACTTTGGGCTCATTTTTTTATATTTATACAATTTTTATAGTTTTTGTCAAAATCATGAATTTATTTTTTATAACAAAATGTTTCAGTTACTTTTATGATGCAGGACTTACTAAATTACATGCTAACGTACCTGGTTTCCCATGATGCATCAGTGTAAACGACCTCCCAGGTGTTTGTCCGGTTGTCGTGAATCTCAACAGTTACAAAAGTTTTATCTCTCTGTAACGACAGACGACAGGTTAGAGAGGACTGGAAAACAAAGACGGTGACACAAATAAATAAAGCAGATTTTGTTCTTACGATGTCTCCAGAGTTTCTTGGGTTTCCTGCTACGAACGTGACGGAGACAACATCCCCCTGAAACAAATATTAAAGTACTTTAATTCATGTTTTTCCACATAGAAACAGAAGGGTGTCGTCAACATAACGAGGGTAGAAAACCTTTTTAGTATAAAACCTGAAAGGGCAAATTAAAACAGTTTAATCCATAATCATTCAGATAGAAACAGCAGGGTGTCGTCGGCATAATGACGGTAGAAAACCTTAAACCCTAAAAGGAATGGGGCCCAGTATGGAGCCCTGAGGGACGCCACAGAGGATGATTTATGATTTGAAATGTCCCACCGGTCTGTAGACGGGGAGAACCTGCTGCAGGACGTCTCCAAAGCTGGTGTTCACGGGTTTCCTGTCAATGCTCGGTGCAGGAAGCAGATTGAAGAGTTTCTCCGTGAAGAAAGGCGGCTCTGGGCCGACCGGCAGCTCCGACACCCGGTCCTGCAAACAGACATCCAAACACTGTAAGTACCGTTGGTGTTCGAGGACTTAAGTTGTTTAGTTGTTTATATTTTGTCAAGTTGTCAACATTAAGGTGTAATCTCAATAATGAAAGCGGGTTTTTTGTCATTTTAACTCAAAACAAGACTAAAATAAATGAAGGTAAAACATTTCTAATATCTCAGGAACATTTTTAGCCAAAAAAATTCAATAATTTAAGAATAATAATTTAATAAATAACACATTTAAAATTAAGGTTGGAATTTTCCTGAGGAATACATTTGAAATATTTAGAAAAAATTCCCAACTATTTAAGTTCAAAGTATGCTTTTATTTTGGAGATTTTCTAACTTTTCTCTTCTATTTGTACAAGTTATTTTTGCAAATGATACCAACTTCAGTTTTTCTAAATGAAAATGTCAGTCTCACCTGTGCGATGGCTCTGGCCAGCCCTCTGTATTTCTGCAGGTACGCACTGAGCGTGTGCGGACCGTAGATGGTGGACGCGCCTTCGTACCGCTGCACCTGGAAACAAACAACAACAATGCACTTAGAATTATTTACACTTTGTTTCCCAGAAATCCTGTATATTCTATTTTTTTCTGTGTGTTTTCTTTACAACTGAGCCTCTGCTGTTTGTACCTGGTACTCTTCGAAGGTGGTGATGTAGTGCGTGTAGATGTTACTGAGGCCGGCGATCACCACCTCCGAGTCCCTGAACGCACCCTCCGACTGCAGCTCCGAACACACACACACACACACACACACACACACACACACACACACACACACACACACACACACACACACACACACTAACACCACACACACACACACACACACACACACACACACACACACACACGCACGCACACACACCACACACACACACACACACACACACACACACAACACACACACACACACACACACACACACACACACCACACACACGCACGCACACACACACACACACACACACACACCACACACGCACGCACGCACACACACACACACACACATCACACAGTATGATCACATGACCTGTTGCAGGTGTGTTGATGTGTTGTGTCCTCGTTGTGTCTCACCTGTTTGACGGCTTCTCTTAACCTCCTCCCCGACATGGTGCTGAAATATAAAAGGACAAAATATAACAAGACAAATATAAATGAATATTTCACATGTATTTTTTTATTTAAAGTTAATAGTGTCTTAAAAAAACACTAGAAAATAAATGTTATTTTTAAGTATTTCTTTACATCTAACGTCCACAATACCCCATTTATATCATATCATATGAAACTCATTTTGGAAAAACTACAATTCTATCTCCATGTATATATATACCTGTATAAAGTCCTCAGTGGTTGAATACTCAACTACTACTCAGATTATGAATACAAGATGAAATAACATTTTTTTTAAGTATTTGATTTTTATATTATTATTATTAAAGTGTTTTACGTCATCTCTCCAGGAACGGCCACCACAGCTACAGAGCCGACGGTGATGATCTGAACGTCAACGATCTGAGGATGCCAGGGCAGAGGCCAGTTCATCTACACACACACACACACACACACACACACACACACACACACACACACACACACACACACACACACACACACACACACACACAACACACACACACACACACACACACACACCACCCACACACACACACACACACACACACACACACACACACACACACACACACACACACACACACACACACACACACATATACATATATCGGTTGTGATATTTATAAGATTTTCCCACTCAATTTTTTTTGTTAGAAGAAGAGATTTTATTATTTGTATTTTTTTGTACGTTTCCAAAGTTTGGAAGGATATTTTAGTTTTCTCTTTTTTTTCTTACGTGTGAAGATTTTTTTTAAATGCTCTACTTTTTCCCGAATAATTCTTGAATAATTTTTAGATTTATTTTAAAGTTTCCAAAGTTTTTGCGATTTTTCCGTTTTTGAAATGTTCCCACATTCTCCAGTTTCACTCGAACCTTTTTTGGAATAATTTTAGATTTTTTATTTTATTTTTCAAAGTTTCCAAAGATTGTTGTGATGTTTCCACTCATGTTATTTTAGGGCACATTTAAATAACGACAACAAATACCAAAATGTTTAACCCTCGGTGTGAAAGCGCCTCACCTCCCCGGTGTTGAACAGGATGGGTTTGGGATGATGGCATGCCTTCGACTGATTGGATGGCTCCCCCACCAGAGCGTCTCTGATCCCGTCCCAGAACGGGTCGCCCTCCACAGCGCCTAAAGAGAGAGAGGCGGGATAGTGGGATTCAAACCAGAATGATGGAGGAAATACATTATAATGACCTTGAGTATAATGACGTTAGAATGAATGTACAATCACCCTGAGTAAAGTTGAGGTCTCCTCCTCCGTCTGTCGTTCCTGCTGCAAAACTGTGACCCAGAGCTGGTTTACATGTACTGGCCTGAAGGTTCAAGATTCAAGATTCAAGGCTTTGACATCCTTTGTAAATTAGCTACAGTGTAGATGTGTCAATGAAAAACTTAGGTCACAGGCTCCTCCAACAGTGCAACATATATATAGGACATAAAACAAATAAAACAGATAAAATAGTGCAAGTAAATAAAAATAAAATAGAATAGAAATAGTGATTAAATAAAAAAATAATAATGCACTGAAATCCAAAGAGAAAAAAAAAACATAACAGATAATTCTGAATTTCTACTTCTGCTTTTCCTCTCTTTTATCTCCCTTGAGTTTGAAAAAGCTTGAGCTACACATGCTAACGTGGCTAAAACCTGTTCTCCATTATGTGTGTGTTGCTGACCGTGTGTGTGGCGTTGATCTGGACAGTAACGTCCGTCATGTTGACCCACTGATGGGCCAAGTGCAGGACACCTGTAACCTCTTCCACTGCAGTACCATACAGCTCCTGCAGGGGGCATATAATACACACACACACACACACACACACACACACACACACACACACACACACACACACACACACATGCTTGTCAGATCAATTGACTGAATTTGATAACCTCCAATAAAGGGTCCCCACAAAGCACTACGTGAAAATGGCACCCCACAATGTACTAAGAACAAGTATTTTAATTGTTTCTATTTTTTGTATTTATCCCTTGTAGCTCTCTTCAAAAAAGTTGCTCTGACGGGCTGAGTGGACACAACGGATGTAAAATAATACAAATAATATTTTCCACTTCCACTGAATTAAATCTTTAACCAACTTCAGTCCTGAAAACTGCCAAAGAAATGTATTTCAGATTTGTATCATTAAAAGCCCTTTTTTAACCAAATGTAGCAATATTTGAATTATT